TGGGTTGGTACTGTTTTGTCTCGACTATGGCCTTGATGCTTGGGCGCTAAGGAATAAGCACGGGAGCGCGAGGGCAGGTTCGAGCGTGAGGACCCGACGTTAGCTGTTCGTCATTCGGATTCGTTTGTAAGACCGACATCTCCGTTGTATTTGACGGATTCCTAGTGGGGCACGTCAACAAGTCACAAAGACAACTAGCATCCAACAAACATAATCTAACGGTCCGACATTGGTGCCTTCGACCCGCAAGTATAGTGAAGAGGCTTACCTGAACTACTCAACAGAAGCTCAACAGCTACCTCAGCAACAAAACAACCAACCCAAGCTTCCTAAAATCCAAACTGAGACCAATCCTTAGTCAAATACTCAATTCTACCCAAGTTTGACCAAAAGTCAAACCAATCAATTGTCAAAGCTAAGGTCAAAATTGCCAACAACAACCCTCTACGTCGTGGCCTTCCTTGGCCACGTCGTGGGAACAAAATGCCAAAATAGTCGATGGTTCCCCAGTCGCCGCGTCGCCACAGCCTAAGGCCACGTCGTGGGGACTAATCTGAACAACTCAACGAGCTTAATCCATTTTCTTCCGATTTCAGGAGCGCCAAAGCTCAGATGTGATCCTTTCCAAGGTCTTAATGGATAAAGTTTCTAACTTTATCCATTAGGAAGGTCCAAACTATCAAGATGTAGACTTTAAGTCTCAAAGGAACCCAAAAATGCATATTTGTTAACTCAATCCATTAAATCAAAGTCTCTAACTTTCAGATCTGAATCAACAAGATGTCTAGATGGATAAAGTTTCCAAATTATCCATAATAATGCCACAATCTTTCAAGATCTAAACTTTAATACACCAAAATGGCCTAAAGGACCGAGATAACTTGCATGGCTAAAATGGAAGGCAAAAGATCACAACTTTCTTAGTCCATGAGGTGTAAGAAACATTCCAAACAGATCAAAAGATGTTGGAGTCCACTCAACTCCAAGATCACCCATAAAATAGACCAAAAGTGCCCCCAAATGACAAGATCTAAAGAACTAGATAACAATATTGAAACTTTATACTTACAATAGTTCAGAAATATAACGTCTTTGATAGATCCATGCCCATACCCGATTATAAAATCATATAAAAAATCCGGTCTCGTCCCGTTGGATACCCGGTTAATAAATACCCATCGGTTTTACGAGCATACTCGCGAGTGTTGGGCATTTAATATATTAACAAGTTAAAATTTACCAAATGAAACTTTCATCACTTAACACACAATGGCAATCACATCCAAAGAATTTTTTTAGTGATTTGAATTTTCTAACAACATTAACTAACTTACTCTTAACAAATGTTGCAAAAGTATAATCACGATAAACAATTTAAAATATTCAAATTTCATGATAAACTAAACATATCATAATATAAAAATTAAAAACAATATCAATAATTTCCACTTTCAAAAAAAAAAAAATAGTAATTACATAAGAAACTTTTTAATTATAATATCCCAAATAATATTTTAATATACATTTGAAATCATGTATTGATAATAAAATCATATGTATTATTATAAAATATAAATGGTCCGAGAGGGGGAAATGAGACTAGATAATCGGTCGGTATATAACTTTAATATCATAACCAGCATAATTTTTTAGAAAATATCTCACACTCAGTCCAATAGCCATTTATTTAACCCGTTTACATGTCCCAAAGTTTTGATTTAGTTTTTCCCCTTGGGTTTGAGTATTTTTGTCACCCCTTAATCTATTATTAGTCACTATGATGAGAGCATAGTGGTTGGGGAGCGATATTGCACACAGGAGAGGTCAAAGGTTTAAACCCTAGCACATCTAAAATATCGTTAATGTTCTACAAATGACATCCTATATAGTTCTTACAGTGGGTTGATATGAACCACTCAGATGATACGATTTATCATTTTTTTTATTTATCAATTTATTACTATCAACTAACAATTGGCAACACGTTAACAATAACACTCTGCATTATTTAAAATTTTTGTGTGCCATACTTAAAACAAGAATGCAATGTTCTCAAAATTTTAATTTTTAATGAAGGGAAGGGAAAGGAATAAATTTTCCCTTTGCTTAGATTAGACACAAGCAAAGTTCAAATATTTACCATTTCAATAAAGATTACGACATGCAAATAAAAAAAAATATATCGTTTTGATCTTTAACCAACCGTTAACATCATATATTGAAAAAGTATATACGTGACAACTTAAAAGGAATAATTTATCTCTTGCTTATATGTGAGTGTGTGAAAAAAAGAGGAGAGACGGATTTACCAACCCACCAAATGCGATTAATCACTCCAACCCATCAGAACCAGCGATGAAGGAGTCCTTACCCGACGATACCGATTATACCACCCCAACCCATGACGGAACCCGGAGTCGATTACCCCCTCCCTTACATTGTACATGGTATTTTAGTTACTATTATTATAATTTTTTTAGCGTTAAATTTATTTTCAAAGTTTTTAAGTATTATAATTTAATTAATCCTATATATTATCACATGCCCTATTCTATATACACCACAAGAAAAAAAAATAACAAAAAAGAAAACAAAAACTAGTAGGGTAAATTTTCGTATGCATTCAATATTTTTTTATATTTTGTTTTATTTTTTTGTATTTAGAGCATCTCCAACTCACTCCCATTCTCCATTTCTTCCCCCATTCCTCTCAAATCCTACCTCATTTATTCCCTAATTTTGGGGGAAATGAATCGTATAACACCATATTTGGTGTTATAGGATTCATTTCCCCTAAAATGAGGATGAACTTTGAGTTGTCGGTTTTAGTCCCTCGTTTTATATATTTATATATTTCTGGTTTTTTTATCTATTAATTATTATTTAAATGTAAGATTTAATACTTATAATATTGTGTTATATATTGAATTATATTAATTAATCATAAATATAATTTTTTTTTGTTTATCAAATTCATATTAAAATTTAAATACATATTGAAATTTTAAAACACAATAACGTATTTTACAAAAACTTATAATTACGTATTATAAATATAATCTTATTTATTTAATATTATTGTAATGAAAAAAATATAGATTATATATTTATTAAAACAAAATTAATAGAAGGGGCGTATTTGATAATTTATATAACTTAGAATAATGAAATATATTTTTTGGGGTAAAAATGGAGTAGGGTTGGAATAAAACACTATTTATCTTATTTTTTACTGTATTTTTGGGGGAAAAAATGAAAGTGAGTTGGAGATGGTCTTAGCTTAAACTCTTTTATTTGAGTTTTTTTGTTTTGTGGTGGGTAATGACTAATGATATGGTTAGCCACTTAGCCATTAAAAAAAACTTAATGTTTATTTTCCATAAAAAAACGTCCATGCAAATTTTAAAAATTAAAAATTTAGAACAAATTACACGGATGGTCCTTTAGTTTTATAGTTTTTCCCTAATATGGTCACTACGAAACTTTTTTCCCTGAGATGGTCCTTCCGGAGCAAACCTTGCACGTAAAAGGCCCTTATGACTAACTGTGTTAAAGGATTCTGTTAAATAATTGTAAATGACGAAAATACCCTTTGTTTTTTGTACACGAATGGTCTCTCTCTCTTTCTCTCTCTCTCTCTCTCTCTCTCTCTCTCTCTCTCTTTCCTCCTACTACCTTTTCTTTCTATCTCTTTTCCAAAACATACACACATACACATACTATCAAAGAACACATACATAAAATGATTAAAATCTGAAGAACACCTCCATCTCCGCCGACCATCACCATCCGCCACCACCATCATCCGCCGCCAACCACCTCCATCTCCTCCAACCTCACCCCACATCTTTCATTTTTTTAACATGATGAAACTTAGCTCGTATCTGGACCGATAAGGCTACACCCTACATCTGGAGTCCGTCGAACTCCAATGAAGGCGGCGTCAATCTCTTTGTCTCCCTCTTCTGCTGGTATGATCGTCAGAGAAGACGAATGTAAGATCTGGACAGGTGGGCAGATCCAGCTAGGGTCTGGAAAACCACCATCATCGCCTAGATTAACCGGAAAACCAACCCATCTAAAACATAATTCCACTAGAAACCTCCAGACGGACTCCTTGCCTTCTCCAGAGTTCTACCCCTTCCTCATTTGCTGCCTTCACCGAAAAATGTTGTCTGGTTCGAGGGTTTTAGATCGGAGCATTTTTCAGATCTGTTATAGGCAAAGGCTTCAAGATTGTGTTATGGTTAGGGTTTTTCAGATGGTGGTGATGGAGGTTAGATCTGCAAACGGGATCTGAAAACCTTTAAAAGCACAGGTGAGAATAGTGACGTGTTCGGCGAGAATGGTCACAGTGATTTCTAGATCTGATCCGTTACATGAGAGTCAAATTTCCGGATAGAACAGGTGGCGGCGATGGAGATCTTTCCGGCAGGTTTGAACCTTTGATAAAGTAAGGTTGTGCAAGTGCTGGAATGGAGGCGGACACAGCTGAAGTTAAGGTTTTGGTGGTGGTGCTGCATCAGAAAATGGTACTCTGGTGGTGTTGTTGGGAGGATGTCGTCTAGAGAGAGAGAGAGAGAGAGAGAGAGAGAGAGAGAGGATGGGACCCACTTTTTTTTAATTTCAAATTAACAAAATATTAAAAATAAATAAATAAATAAAAACAAAGGGCATTTGCGTCTTTTCACACACACTTAACAGAATCTGTTAATAAAGTTAGTCATAAGGATCATTTGTGTGCAAGGTTTGCTCCGTAGGTACCATTTGAGGGAAAAAACTTTCGTAAGGACTACTTTAGGGAAAAAAAAACAAAACCTTAAGGACCAATCGTGTAATTTGTTCAAAAATTTAAAACCATAAAAATCATCCATGTTAAATTTTCTCCATAAATACTTATGGTGGTACTTTTACGGTTTTACCAACTACAAGGATCATTTATGTAATTTCGTCTACACGTAAAGGGGAGAGATAACGCCTGTTTTATTTTCATTGCGTCGATGTCGGAGGCATACGAGAGAGTGAAAGGGGGCAGGCTGACCTTCAAAGGAGGAACCCTAGCTTCAAGAAGCAAATCCATTGATAAAAAGAAGAAGAAAAAGCACAAGAAATCATCTGACGAAAACGCTAACGTCACCGAAGAAATTCTCACCGGGGACGCCGCTACTGCGACTGCAGAAGATGGCGGTGGTTCCGCGGCTGCGGAAGGTGGATCAGGAGGAGGCGATGACGGTATTTACACGATTGATGCGGCGAAACGCAGGAAGTACGATGATCTGTTCCCTGTGGAGGCTAAGAAGTTCGGGTATGACCCGAAAGCGAAGGTGAAGTCGGTTGAGGATGCCCTTGACGATAGAGTCAAGAAGAAGGCTGATCGTTATTGCAAATAGATGAGCTCATTTCTAAATTGAAGGTACTCATAATCATTGAGTGATGTTGAATGAGATTATGACTGTGTTACATGTTTCTTTTATGCACTTTTAATGCAATTAGATAATATGCTTTGTGGTAGATAACATTTGCAAACATTCCTTTGATCAGAAATTGCACCTTTAATTCTGGACTCTTATGAGTCTTATCCCTCTCAACCAAAATAAACAAAACAAAATTGCTGCTCAATCTTGTGTGAAGGGTTTGAAGTTTCATAAAAGGGCCAAATGCAAGAAATAGCTAACATACTTTCATTTATCTGTATTACAGCATCTTTCTTTCGTTTTTTTCAGTCACATCATTTCTTTTATCTTTTTTCTTATCAGGACATTATATTTTGAAAAAAATTATCAAGTTATAGCATTGAAAATTGCTTTGTATTCAGATGACATTCCTATAATTGGGGTTGGATACAAAAATGGGCGTGTTGTACTTGAGATTTTACTTGAAATACAAATCGGCTTGAAGTTTGTATAATTTAGATAGTTTACATTTCTAAACCTTACTATGAAGTATGAAGTATGAACTAGTATCCTTTTAATCAATCTTGTAGACCTATACAGACTATTAAAACTTAACCACTTAATTTACAGCCTGTTTCTGTAGCTGGAGACACAATCAAAAGATGATTGTGTCGGACCTTGGTGGGTTGTCACAGTTTGCAGGAATCCATCCTATTGTTTGTTTTTCATTGTCATATATCACCATCTTATCTTGCATCGATATATCTACAAAATACACACAAAAATCTTCACTACTACTTCATTCTCTAGTTTCTACAATTATTTTTGATGATGGGATTTCGAAGAGGGCATTTACGTCTTTTTTAAATACTTTACCACCTTTTTAGGTGGTGGGACATAAGATTTCAATTTTTGTCCCATTGTTACCGGTCTCAGTCCAATGCACGTTAAATACAATACAAATAATTGGAATTGTACCTCCAATTATGTTGAAGTTTTGAAGTCCGACTTCAGTGCCATTGAGAACTCCTAAACAGACACTCCCTCTTGACTGTGAAAGTAAGAAAAAGAAAATCCAAATTCCATGAGTCAGAAACTTGATGTTGTTTGGTGGATTTTTAAATAATTGGAATGAAAAAAGGAGACTTACTGAGAGAAGAAGGTATCCTTCAAGTGGGATTTCGAATTGAGTTTTGGATCTCCAACCATTGGAAAAGCTTAAAGCCACAGGCTTAAAGTACTTCTTTACATCCCTTATGCTTCTGAATGGTTTTCTTCCTTTCCAGCAAAAGGGTAGAGTTTCATCATCTACTGCTTCTCGTATAGGCTTCCCACTCAATTCTTTTGTTATCTACCAATATGAAAAAAGCATCCGAAAATGAGTAATGAATTATGATATTTAGTTTCTAGATTTGTTCAAAATAACCATTTTAACCTTGAATTATGACTGACTATTGCGCTTGTTACGTTAAATAATAATAAGCCAAACACTCTGTTGGCATAAACCAACAATAAAAAAGGATTAGTTGTAAGAAAGTTTCATTTTATTTATTTATTTTGATTAATTTCCAAAAGCGTGAAGACGTTAATAACCAGGGAAACTAATTTACAAGCTTCATAGACGCAAATTATAAATGATAGACTTGATTTTCACGTTTTTATGGCTAACAGCCTTAAGAAACGGATTAATTGATAAAATCCTAGTCAGAGTCTAAAGTTTTATAATAGCTAAAGTTGAAAACCTACCAAATAAAGCAAACCCTCATAAGCTTGGGAACTTAGATACGTGTACGAGCTTCCACTATCAAAAATCACAAGTAAATTCTTAAGCCCGGTTGCTTTTCCACCATAAATCACCTCTCCATACCCAGGTGAATAGTGCTTCCTGAAACACATTTCATAAATCATCAAAAAAAAAAAAAAAAAAAAACCATTAAGTTTTCTATCAACGTTTAGTGATAAAAACCTTCATCATCTGTTTATGTGGGACAATTTTATACAGTTATTACCTATAATCACGTGACATTGGGGTTGATACTACACGTGAAGAATCATAGACATCATCTCCAAAGAACAAAAACCCACCTCCACGACTACTGAAACAGTGCCCAACCACATTCCGAATTAGACCTTGACTATGAAGTTGCGATACAATTCCTGTTTTACCCTTCCCTAACCCAAGAACACCATCAAGTGGTTGATAAGATGGACCAGGGATCTGATCATATCCACACCTGTCCACAACACAACACAAACAAAAAATATTTAATTCTTATCCCACTTACATCAGTTCCAGTCCCAGTCAAATACAGTTACCCAGTCTGCATAAAAAGTGTTACAAACCCAATGGCGAGACGAGGAGTGACTCGAACGCCAGTTGTAAGATTGAGAAGGGAGACATCGTTGACAAGGACACCGAGAGATGAACCACCATCAGCATACTCAACTTCATAATCACATTGATTAGGGTCATCACATCTGTGATCCCCCGAGTGGAGTGATGCACAGAGAGGATCTTTACATGGAACTAGATCGTTATTTGGTCTGTAGTAAGGATGTGGGGCCTACAACACATTACACACAAAGATAAAGCATAAACAAAGGAAATGCTTAATGTAATGTATCCACTATGAAGTATGAACAACCATATATGGTATAGTTTACCGAAGTTAAAGTCCATTAAAAAATATAGTATGAATGGAAAGGAATTTAAATGTTGAACTGATTATACCATGGACAACAACCTGAGTGCAATGTACACAAGGAGCATCACACTGAAGCCATGTTAGGTCGCTACCCGTGTCAGGATCAACAAAATAAGGCCTCGGAGGATGTCCGATGTTTATCTGAGCATAATAATACCTGTTTTTTTAACCATAAATCAGATTCATCAACACAACATATTCATAAACTATGATATATTAGATTCATCAATAATCATCAGAACAGAAATGCATATAACTACTACAAATCTTGTCAAATTCAAACTGATAATTTCAAAAAAGAAACAAGTGCATAAAATTACGATGCGAGAAATCATGAAGAACGAATTATGATATGATTTCACCCTTAAAACAAGCAACAGGAATCTCCAAAGCATCTACACATGACAAATTGGCACCATTATATATACAAGTTAATTGGAACTTTTTATTAGTTCATCATCATAATTTTATGGATTTCTAGTATTCACGATCAAGTCTAATGTGGTTATCATCAATTATTCGAATTTGATTTTGGTCTACATCAAAAATTTGAAGTCAAAATGTTGTTTGAAAGAGGAGCCAGAAGCTTATCTAAGTTTACTGATCGATCTGATCAACTGATACATTTCGTACAAAATCTAATTTATTCTGTTGATTTACCAAATGAAGTTAACTCGAAAATACCAATTTAGCTATTTCCTTCACTTTGACAGATTCTCCGATGAGAACTTCAACACAACGACCAATTCAAATGTCGAATCCAAAATTCTAAAGCATTTATTCGTTGATTCAAGCTGAATCGATGAGAAACTATAAAGTTAGAGATGAAGTTATTCGAGTAATTAGTATTTCTCACCCTTGAGGATAAACATTGCCGTATAGAGGAAGTACAACGGATGAACAGATTGATTTTCCGGTAGACGGCCATTTCCACCATTTTTGCCGGCGATCATCGGAAGCCGATAACGGTGGTACGATCAGCGCTAAGGACAGAAAACACAATACCACGATTATACCTGCTTTCATCGGGTGTTTATGGTTTGAATTTTTTGATAGAGAAAATATAGAGGTAAAAATAATAATTGAATAATTCTTTCTTTTATTAGCTATCTATTAAATGCTTTTTTATGTTTGTATTCACTATATATATAGAGAGAGAGAGGATGGAAGAGATACTTTGGTTGATAACGAGGGAAACAAATAAAATATTTTTTTATTAGCTATCGATTAAAATTTTAGACCTTTTAGTTTTTATATATAAATATTTTTAAATATAATTTTAATGTTACTTTTGTTTTAATCATATTATTTGATACAAAATATCAATAGAGATTAGATATCAATTACCAATTGTCGTTTTGTCGACCTGTTTTTCATTTATCATTTTAGCATTAATGCACTATTTAAAAATAAATTATTTTGATTAAATTTAACCAAGAATAATTTAATTTGATATTATTATAAAGCGGCCCTGTCATAAAAGTGTTCATAAGTGGTTGGATATTGTATCGATTTTTCGAATATGAAACTAAAAGTAGAGAATTATATGAATATATTAATTAGTTCAGTCATTTATATAAGTAATTATGAATAAGTTTGAAAAAGTAATAGTTTTAATGGAATGATTATATTGATATAAATATCAAACATTATAACTTTAGATATATACTAAAAAATCTTTAAAAAATACGTAATTTATTCATACTAATAGTATTCATAAGTTGCCAGATTTTCATATTCGCATTAATACAGTATGATTCTATGTATAATAATCGAATAAAAAATTAATACAAAGGAAAATACAAAGAATATTTATGTGTTGATGGTGATGCACTGATGCCTTTGGGTAATTTCTTGGGAATAAAGGCATGACCATGGCATTGCTTCATGCATTTGACTTCTTTTTCTTTTCTTTGTAGATGGGTTTTATACTGATTCGTTTTATTTAATATTTTTTTTTTATTAAACTAAATGTTTGTTAAGATATAGAATGTGCCGTGTTTGGGTTTGTGTGAAACATTATAAACTACTATTAACATTGCTCAATTAATTTTTGTATCATGACCATGACGTGTCAGAGATGCTACAATATGCGACTGTGTACATATATAGTAGTATGAGCTATATTTCATATTATCAGCAAGTGAGATAATTCTAGATTGAATTCAAGTAAACTGTAAATATGTATAATAAATAATAGAGGGTTTAAGTTTGGAATAATATATTGTGTGGGTGCTTAAATTTGTAGATTGCAATTTCTCTTCAATTTCTCTAATTTTTCTTTTCCTAATCATGTTTAATCAAATTTGATTACTTTTACGAGATCATTAAAATATCACGTTTAATATATCACTGCAAAGATTATAAAAATACCTATTACTGTTATTTTTGGTTTAAAATAATTTTTAATAGTGATAACCTTAGAAATTGTAAACTAAAATCATTAGGAAAAAAAATAAAATGTTAGTTTATGAGTAAATTATATATTTATATTTATCGGTTTAAAAAACACAAGGGAAAAGAAACAAATAAACAACTGAGGATTATTAAATTCCAGAGAAAAAAAAGTATTACTAAATTTTTACTAATAATTACAAGATAAATTACAAGATAAATTATTAGTAATATATACCTTTTTATATTTGATATCAAACCCGTTGACAAATCTACATAGAAAAAGTTTTTCACCCAAGTGGCCAAGTCCTTATAGTCGATGCTAATCCATCAAGTGGATGTTTAAAATCACGTAATTCATAAGAAAATCGTTTTTCAGGCAAAAGTGATGCTTGGTCTGAAAATATACTATTGCTATGCTCACACAAAAAGAGAGAGAGAGATGCTACGTGCCTACGTCCTTTCCAACTTCTCATTGTTTTGGAAATAAATAATTTGATAGGCAAACAACTATATTCCGTATATGTATTTGATTATTTGATTTTTTTACATAATTTATCATTAAAGTGATATCGGCTTTTAAAAAAAAAAAATTGTATATATGATTTTTTATTAAAATCAGCTTAACATGAATATCCAAACTAATCAATCACTTAGATAATTCAAATTAATCGAATGACTTAGATAATTCACAAGACAATTTTATTTTATCGAATTGTATAATTTAGATTGGACCATTGAAGTGGCTTAATAATAAATTGTGTACACAAAGATAACTAAATGTATATGCTAAATATACTTGCTTACCTTATAAAATCATTAATCCTAATTTTTTACTATGATTCGACTCTTTTTTTATTCATCGGTAATAAAATGATGAATTAAAGAATCATATTGATGGAAAGTACACAATTATATTTCAGTTTAACTCTGTATCTAATAAGATGGCTTTTAAAAAATTATGTTATCATGTTTCAGTTTGTTAATAAAAATTTAGTAATTTATTCACCCATAATAAAAGATCAACTCTATCTTTTTTAGCAAGAAGGAAGAACAAAAAGTACAAAAAGTTCAACCCATGTTAAGAGAAATCAACCAACAATCCCAAAAGAAATTTACTTTCCTATCTCTATTAGAAATCAAAAAATAATAATAATAATAATAATAATAATAATAAATATATATATATATATATATATATATATATATATATATATATATATATATATCATCAAAGATCTCTTGTTTTCTTGGCATGACCGTTCCAAATAAGAGTTAATTGTGAAAACTCCTTAACACCCAAAACGTAGTGGTAATTACCGCATCAAATCTCGTCTTGTTCTTCTTGTCAATAAATAAAGAATCAGCCCAATTGAGGATGAAATAAACAGAAAAATCTAGAGGAATCTTCACATTCTATCAAAGTGCAATCTTTCTCCAAATTAGCATCAAGAGACAACATGAAGCAAACAAGTGCCAGTGGATTCAGTGGATTCACATACTTGAGAACAAATAGGACAAAGCAAAGAATCAAGATCGATTCTTTTATCTCTAAGGTTTAACCATGTAAGGATTCTATCCATCTCAATTCTCCAGATAAGAACATTAATCTTAATGTGGATTAGATTATTCCACCTAGTGGCGATATTAGAACCACTACTGTAACATCCATAAAATTTGAGCCAAATTAAAACATTTTAATTCATTCAAAAACCATTAAGTTCATACATCTCGTTTTCAAAATAGTTTAAACATCAGAGTATCCCCCAGAACCATATCGCATAAATCATAAAACATGAGGAGCGGTACGATCACACCTTCGCCTTGCCACGATCTCCTGAAGTACCTGAAACAATACACTAAACTGTAAGCCCGAAAGCTTAGTGAGTTACCCCCAAAATACCAACCGCACATATACATACTCATAACATATCACAAATAGAACAGCCATGCACATCGGGTCTACTATGTGACTGGTCCGCGCGCACCGGGCCTTCAGTCCACCTGGTCCACCCTCCGAGTCTAGCCATGTACATCGAGTCTACAGTGTGATTGGTCCGCCCGCACCGGGCCTTCAATCAACCTGGTCCACTCTCTGAGTCTACAGTATGACTGGTCCGCCCACACCGGGCCTTCAGTCGGCCTGGTCCACTCTCCGAGCCTCGGCACGTCTGGTCCGCCCTCTTGGGGCCTTCAGCCTATCCGTACCGCTCGCTGGACCTTCAGAATACCCGGTCCGCCCTGGGTATGTTGGCCTACAGCACAAAGCAGGACCCGCCTCAACCCAACCCCCGTCACACAACCATGTGCACATAAAACAATTATTCACATAACAAATCCTTAACCAGACAAACAATCTAACAGATCACATAGCATATCAACATCCTAACCAGGATTCCGACCTAACCGGTCACTAGCATAACATTACCCTATATTCCGGGACCTTAACCAGGTCACTAACATAACACCACCCTAATTACCAGGGTGCAGACATAGCAAATCAATACATATCAAACAAATACCCAGATTTCCATCCGATAAAAGGCCGGCCTTGGTGCCGTAGACCCTGTCGATATAGTGAGGATAACTCACCTGCAATTGCCGACTGAAGAGATACGACCAAGCTGCTCCGACAACCGACACGAACTTCACCACAACACACTACCAAAGGACCAATACCGAAATTACCAAAATACCCTTGGAAGTCAAACTGGTCAACTCTTGGTCAAAGTCAAAGTCCTCAGTCAAAGTCAACTTCCTGACTGACCCTACTCGCCGAGTCAACCCGTTGACTCGTCGAGTCCTTATACTCTGAAACTCCTAGAACACGACTCAACTCGCCGAGTCACCCTAATACTCGTCGAGTCCAACGATCTCCGAGTCTCATCCTGTCCAACTCGCTGAGTCACCCCTCGACTCACTGATCTGCGTCTTAGCCAGAAGAGGTTAGGGGTTTTGCGACCTGACTCGCCGAGTCCAAGAACAGACTCGCCGAGTCCAAGGCAATCTTCAACAGACTCGCCGAGTTGTTCTTCAACTCGCCGAGTCCATGCACATGTTCATACAACTCGTCGAGTACACCCATGTGACTCGCCGAGTCCCTTTAGTTCTCAATCCATACAGAGGCTTTTCGAGCCATGCAGGGGCTCCAATCCATAGATCCACTCTTCTACAGCCTAACCCTCACATAAAGTTGCAAACTTTACGTGAAACCAAGGAGATATAAGCCCAAAACACTCTAGGGCTAGGGTTCATGACAAAGGGGCTTCACCAATAACTCTTAGACATGAGCTTTATGGCATTAAGGACCATCACAAGCTTAGATCTGGAGTAGCAACCTCAGATCTAAACTCCAAACCCTAAATAGGTCTCAAACAAGCTAAGGAACTCCAAATCAACCACCAAAGGTGAACCCAAAAAGGAAATAGCTTAAGATAATGGCTCCTTAGCTCTGAGATGTGCCCAAACTGATGTAGATCCCAGATCTACACAAGCCCCTTGATGCTAGCCTCTAATTTCTCAAGCTCCTTCCACCAAATTCCTCTTCCAAGCTCTAATCTCCTCAACAATGAAGTCTCACACGAAATTAGGGTTTTCTGGAACTCTTTGGGGGGATTAGGAGGCTGGGAGAAGGTCATAAAGTCCTTTAAATAGGGTGCAACCCTCGGGATTAGGGTTTTCTCATTCCAACACCAACTCGTCGAGTCCAAGCCGCCGACTCGGCG